GATGATGATGATGATGATGATGATGATGATGATGATGACGACGACGACAATTGTAACACTTGGTCGGAAAGGGTTAGAAACCAATATTAAAGCTAACAGAAGAGTATGCCAAAAAGGCATGAGCGTTTTAAGACTTATTTTTTTCAATACAAAACTTAATAAATAAAATATGGAAATAGAAATGTACATAAATTATGAAAACTCAGAATAAAACCTGAACACATTGCGCAAACTAAAAAATTGAACAGTGTCAAAAATAGCATATTGAATTAACCTTTCAAAAGATTGATCTAAGAAGCCATTCAAGAATTATTGCAGTCCTACCATAACATATTCACATCATAGACATTGGAAACACAAAATTGATGATTGGCAAGTTTGAGGAACATCATTTTTTAACCTGATTCTTGGAAGCTTTCAGATCATTATATTCAAAGTACACAAAACAATTACCTGTTTCTTGAAGCTTGTATTCAGCGATATTCTGTGAGTGCTGTCAGTAAGGTGCGACGTGATCTGGTTACAGGACTATTATCATCCTCTACCTGTATGGCACAGTGAAATATAAAACATTCACAGCAAAAAAGTTTTAGATAAATAAACTGAATCAATTTTTAATTTTTATTTCTTTAATTTCTTCAATAATTAATAATTATTTCTCATTGAACTTAAAAAGAAAATCTTGATCGCGTCTGTTAATATTTAACACTGCAAATTATTTGATTTTTTTAACAGTGATAATTTACCTAAAACATGTTGGCATTTAACTTTTGCAGAATTCTATACTTTCACAAGTCTGACGACATACAAACATTAGCTGATGTTAATGATGTGAAATACACCAAAAGGAAAACAACATACAAAAAGCTACATCAATTATTTCATGCTTTTTTTCTTAGTCCTTTCAGGACAAAAACACAACATTTATTATGCAAATGCATCACCTTAAAATGTAATATTTTTTGTATTCTCAAATCAAACCAAAGAACACTAAACGAAAAACAACACTGTTTAACATGCTTTCTAGTGCAAGATATACTAACCTTTAATAAGTACAGACCATATTTCACCTCCCTACCAAGACAAGCTACACAGCAACCACCACTCACAGGTTGAGAATGTCTACGCACTCTTCACTTACTTGCATGTCCCCCTCTTCCTGCTGACTCCTCCTCTGAGCTATCGTCCTTAGCAGAGCCTTGCCTTCTTCTTTTGTCTACAAAGAAAAGAAAATTGACACATCATGACTCAACATTCCTGAAAAAGTTTGGCAGCAATATTAAATACATGATCGGATGACGCACTAGTAGATCAAGTTTCTTTCAAATGAAATTCAATACCATGACTCACTAAAAAATGCTGAACAGAAGAATTTTTCATGCTACGGCCAAATGACTCTATATACTCTTAACTTCCGCATTATAGCACACAGCTAATTTGTTTCATGACAACAATGGTTGGGGGTTTCATTTTTGAGGCAGAAAAACTATGCTGAAGAACTGTCAGTAAAAAAAGGGTCTAGATCTGGATGCCCTAAACCAAACCAATCTAGAACAACTTCTAAGGCTAAGTTCCAGTTCTAAAATAATAAAATAGGGCACAATATCCTAAAAAAATTATCATTATTATTCTACAAATGACCTAAAGTTAAAGGGATCCCTCACAAAACACAATGTGCTAAAGGAAGATGTTTGTCTTGATTTATAAGATGTCATCAGCACAAAACCTTGTATTTAGATTTATTTAAAAAAACAACAACAACAACACACACCAGTAAAAACTGTATGTAATATATGGAGAAGAAGATCATCTGTTTTTTGAGTTCCAGAAACTCTTCCCATCATTTTATCCATAAATAGTTGAAAGATGAGTAAAAGTTTAAAATAAATACATTTTAAAAAAGTGCGAGATTAGCAATATTTGGAAAAAAAGAAGACATTTTTGTTCCCGAGTCATAGAAAACGTATTTGCATTTGTAAATAAATGATATGATTTTGCATTGCTAACAAAAAAGTAACTCGCCCTTACCTCTACACCTACCATTACGTTCAACAAAACGTGCACATAGCTAAGTTATATTTACATCCAGAAGCAAAGCAAGGGGCCATGTCAGCATTTGCTCAATGGATCAGGGAAACTGGTATACAGGGATCAGGGAACCTGATTGAGATCGTATTACCTTCCAGGAATGCATCAAACCGATTTGAGATGAAAAATGAAGAGTTCTCTAGATTGCACTAAGAAATCAGCAGGCAGAAAGCAACCTGCAGCAGATGCTGCACAACACAAGAATGCTTCCACACTCAATACCATCATGCATAACTCGAACTAGTGGTGCATCAGAATGGCACAGACGTTCTCGCACTAGTTCGGTTTCTATAATTTTTAGTCTAGCCTAGCATTCCAGTATTGCTCTACCCTTGTCTCAGCTGCTTCCTATTGGCGCCAAAACATACATTTCTCACAATTTCTAGTTTTGTTCCACAAGTTTTTGGTCCACTTATAGTAGGATTGAAATATGTCTTTCAGAATATTACAAAAGAGTTGAACAGTGTTGCATCCAAATTTTCAATGAAAAATTTAGTGCTATTCTTGAGAAAACATTAATGAAAATGTGCAATTTAGAGCTAATTTTTTTAAAAAAGTTTTGATTTTTCAAGAAACTTTAGAATAATTGCAGCACTTGTGTTTACAAATGCAATGTATAGAAAATCACTGTATTGTCAATATTAAGAACATCAGAGAAATTTTATTACCTTTGTATAATTAAAAAAAACCCAAAATTGTGCGAGTATCATTTTATCCAGTGCATTTAGCACTATTCACACAAAATGTTTAAGGAAACAATAGGAAGCTGTTATTGAAAAAATGTTGTTCAAGTATTTCTGAAATTGTAGAATTTTGAGCTCATTTTTACAGAAAAGTATTGAGATTTGGAGAAACTTTATCAGACATCATTTGAAGCACTTGTTCTCACAAATGCAATGATGTATACAATTTGCTAATAATGTAAATATTAATGAAGTGAGTAATTTAAAAAAAATTACAACAGGAAGAAAAGATACATTTTCGCTACCTTTATATACTTTTATCTCCACTCTTAACAATGCGCTAACTCGTATGTGTATGTGCAAATGATACCCATTTCAATATATGGGAACCAATTGCCTCAAAATTTGTCGAAAATTGCTAGTGTTTAGTTAAATCTGTATTCTAATTTTTGCTTGAATGTATGTGTATTGGCTTGAATGTATGTTAAATTATCTTCTATTCAAGTGTTTTATTATATTTCATATGTGTATATTTCACATATTTAACTTCTTTCATGTTATAGTATTCTATTCTTTAAATAAAATAATAATTTTTTTATAAAATAAAGAAAAAAAAAAAAAAAAAAAAAAAAAACAAAAAAAAAAAAAAAAAAAAAAGATCAACCATTATAACACTCACACAGTAGACATTGTTACACACTGACACTGTATTTTCATTTATCACTTATTTACACATTATTCACAATATTTTAATTATTATTAAAATTGTGATTTTGCTACTCTACAAATTGATTTTTTGTTTATTTTGCTGATGTAATATATCTTTTCAATTAAGCTACAATTTAATCTACATTTCATATGAACAGGTAAACTTGATTATTTATGTTTTTCCCTTAAATTTCTGTATTGTACTGAAGTCAGTTTATTAATAAATAAATAATACTGTAAATTCACCTCTAAGTAGATTGTGTAGGGTGGCAAATGAAATTCGGATTGATTTCAATTTAAATATAGATATTACAGAATTTAAAAATGGATGGAAGTTAAAACTATGGAAGTATGAACAAGAGGTAGTTTGCATTTAGATGGTTATTCTGAGTCATTGTTCCAGTATTTTATTTTAATTATTATATTGTAAATTTTGAGATATATTATTTTGTTACATTCTATATTTGTGAGATGTTGATTAATATTTGTAAATTACTGTTACTCCAGCACTTTATTTTGTAGTAAATTGTGGACAAATTATCTGTTAATAATAAAAAATAAATATTGGCTTCATGATGAACAAAGCCAATCAAATCCTTTTTGTCCAAAGAACGAGTGCTGAACTCAACACGGTAAACATTTTAAAAACATTAGATATGGTGCTTGTTAAATCTATTTTAATGTTTGCATCCATGGCCTGGTTTCCGTGTTTTACATTCATTCTGCTAAAATTAAATCAGTCCCGCACAAGTTCTTCTGAATTGCTGCAACACGTTTAGACATTTGCAACCCTTACATTGATCATGATTATCATCTCATATCTTCTGAACATATCCTCTATTTCATCTCTTCGTAACTTCAATGATATCTTGTTTGTGTTTAAGTTAGTAAATGGAGAATTGATTGCCCACTGTTCTTCAAAGAATTGAATTTTAGAGTCTCTGCAATTTGCTCAAGAAATAAAGGTAGTTTTCCCCAATACAAATATCTACAGTGCAAATAACCCTAACACTAGAATGACTCGGTCAGTAAAAATAAGTCAGGTTGTGATGTTTGGAGTCCAGGAGAAAATTTTTTACTGAATTCGGTATTTGAATTTTGCATTATGAGTGATTTGTATTGTTTTCTTGATAATCACAAGTCATATTATTCTAAATTTTATTTCTGTATTTGTATATTGGATGAAAGTCCGTCAAATTATAAGTAAATAAATAAATACTTAACATGTATAAAAATGAGAAATTACAGGCTAGATATTTCTTTGATACTGACAACTAGGAAGTACAAGGTGTGACGTTTCCAAAAATATGAATCTCGTACCTTCCCTGACAGTGCATCCTGTCCCATATTATACTTCTTCAGAAATATTAATAACTATTTACCGTCTATTGAGTGTTTACGTACCACTCTTGTCTGATACATTGAGCATACTGACCGACACCTTTGCCTATGCTTGAATCCCAATGAATCTTAGCATGCGATGTTTACATTCCAACACCAATGCAGGTTGTGGGAACAGTGATAACTCATACCCAATGGGCACCTCCCATCACCATGACCATACCCAACTGTCAATCACTGAGTAAGATCACCTGCAGTCTAGTCACAATACAGAACTTATTGTGCTATAACAAAGCATCTTTAATAGTTATAAAGTAATTGTAATATTAATACTATGGAATACCATGTAATATTAATGTTTCAATCATTTCTCACAGATCACTATCTCCATTAAAAGCTTCAGCCAACAATATCCATTCCTAATATGTTCTAAATACAAGAAAACATTTTGCTCCAGCATTACAATTCTTTCTACATACTACATTGTAGAACATACTACATATGAGAAAGTGAAAATTAAAAATACATACAAGAAAAAGAGGTAAAAACTATCTGAATGTAAGAAGAATAAGTTGTTTGGAAAAGCTACTTTCAAAATGAGGCCAACTGAATTTATTATCAAGTAAACATACCTCTTCATACTCCAAACATTTCTGAGCATACTGGTATGCTTCATCAACTTGATTTCTTTTTATGTAATAGTTCGCCAAATGTTTGAATGCTTGGCTGAGTTCACTCTTGTCACCAACTTGTCGACTTTCACAATCTCGCACATACTCGTTAAAAGCTTCAGCAGCATGTTCTGTTTGATTGAGTTTGTCATACAACCTAATGTTGGAGAGAAAATTGCAATATTAATTAACTACCAATACTTCAAATATCGCAATACCTTTAAAAAATACCAAAAGTTCTTATAATAGAAAAAACATGCAGATGAATGTCCACCACCCCGAGATGTAGAAAATCTTAGTTTGTATTCCTTGTTTTCTGCTATATTTCTGATGTGAGAAGTTTATGAATACATTCACTATCTTTTGGATAGTGATGAATTGATATTCAGTTGATTGAGTTGAATGAATTGATATTTAGTCATTCATGCACACTAAATTGTTTGAACTGTGTTAATTATTCATTAACATACGTAATTGATTTGGTTGGTGTCATAAAGCAGATATTTTCAAAATGTAATGAATTTACGTAGATGCCATGTGCTTCAATGATGTAAAGATTTTATGGCTGTAAAGACTTCTTGTCTTACAGATACTAACAATAAATATTAATGATCATATTTCAACCTTTTAGTCTGTCTTCATTAATTATGATTTTGTGAAGGGTTAGGGTCCATATATTTTGACAGTTGAATTCTTGTAACCTTGGACAGTGGAATTCTTGTTGTAATTGAAAAATTATGACTCGAAAGAACAATTCAGACACAAGAGACCTCACAAAGCAAATGGGTTTTACACTGACATTCTACAGTTATCGGTCTCTAGAAAGACAAAATCAATTTTAAACGTTGGTGTGAGTGGTTGAAATAACATGTTCTGAGAGTCAGGAGAAGTTAAGACATGAAAACTGGTGCTTCCAAAGCCTTCCCCCTCCCCCTTTTCTTGCCTTAACTTCTCCTGATTCTCAGAACTCATTATTTCAACTGCTCTCACCAACGTATGAAATTCATTTTGTCTGTCTAATGACCAATAGCTGTAGAATATCATTGTAAAAACTATCTGTTTTGTGAGCTCTTATGTGTCTGGTAAGTTTTTTCCCGTCATAATTTTTCAATTTTATTATTGTATTATAAATAATTTTAAATTTTGTACTATAAAATTTCAAAATTCAATTTTACATCCTGATGATGGGAACAACAATCCTCAAAACTGTTGCATGATTGTAGAATATATTAAGGTTACAAGAATTCGTCCGTCAAAAACTACAGACCCTAACCCTTCACAAAATCATAAATAATAATGATACTCACTTAGCTAATTTTAGAAGAGCAGTTCCTTCTATATCCCCAACACTTCGAGCACGAAAATAACATTTTAAGGCATCTTTAATTTTCTCCATTTTCTCGTAAGCTTCACCAAGGGCAATGAGCATTCTACTATCATTAGGGCGAAGTTGTTGGGCCTGCTTGTAATAGTATAAGCAATAAAACATCATTTTCAAAATTTCATATGTTTGTCCCAATCCATACCAAGCACGATAATCTCTCCTATTAACTTCTGTTAAAAAGAAAAAAAAAAGAATTAATTAAAAAAGTGATGGTTTTTAAAGTTATAACACAATAGTTAACACACACAAAATAATTAATTATATATACCAGAAAAAATTATGCAAAACCCAACAAGCTAGAATATACTGCACAGAGTGGCTGAAGAGCCTCCATCCTTGCTGTCAAACCAGCACCCTCATGAGAAACAGAGTATTCTAGTTCGGCACTGGTTAAATGCAAGTTTAATGTTGAATCCAGGTGGGCGTGGGCCACACGTTATATAAATCCTCATATTCAGTGTTCTCATGACCAAAAACCAATCATTTAAAAACAGAATGACAATATGTTATGAGAATGAATTGAGACAATTTAATGACGTTACTTCTGCGTTGGTTATTGCCATTAGAATAGAAGCTGTTGAAATGTTACTGTAGTTAGCATAACACCTGAAAGTGAATGTTATTGCAATAAGAAGGAAACAAATGGATCACAAATAAGGCACCTAACTTTAAAAATGATATATTTGGGCTTCGATGACTTCTATTATAGTTATATGCCGAACACACTAAAGGCATTGTGAATACTATTATTCTAACCACTAATATAATTTAAATACAGATAAACGGAAAGACAACAATATAGAAAAAAGATCTGATACAAACAACATGTCACCATCAGGCACCTCTCATGTTTCAACTACAAAGAACATGGTGGCAGAGAGCGTCGACCAAGAGCACTGAAACCAGAGGGAAGCTCTCTTTGTAGTATGTTCTAGCTTGTTGGCAAAACCAGTTACTTGTCGTATGAACACATCTTGCATTTCACTGATTAGCATTTTTGCATATAATATTTTTCAAGAAGCACAGAAATTACAACACTGATTTCATACCTATGGCTTGTCTGTAACTTTGAATAGCAGCATTCGTGTTTTTCATTTCCATGAATTCATGTCCAATGAGAGTCCATGCTGAGTGGTATCTGGGATTAAGTTTAAGAGCTCTTTGGAAATACAAAACTGCTTTTTGGTGTTCAGATCTCAAACTGTAGTAGTTTCCTAGAAAGAAAAACACATTTAAATAGACATTTCAATCAAACACAGGAGAGAAAAATGAAACTAATGTTCATGTGTTTCATTCCCTAGAATAAGATTGATATTTTTGTTGTGTTAATACTGTGATCTATTTACATTATAAATTATGTGAAACTGACAGGTGTTAATGAGAGTAGATATAGTTATCTGGGCCTAAAATATGAATTAATTCTTTTAAATAAGTTTTAAAATCCCACGTTTATGTATCTCCATGGGCATGAAAGTTAAACATTTAATAGCTGCATTTGTTTTCAAACATAGAAGGATCTTTACTTCTGCACATGTGAAACCCATTACATTCTCATCTCCCTTTGTCAAAACATTCAATTAAAAATTGTTTATTTTGAAAACCTGAACTAATGTAGGGACTTGTCTATAATTTTCAGGAAATATATAGGTCAATAATTTTCAGTGAAGCTATATTGGCTTCTTTTTAACGATTTTTTTATTATTGAATATCAGTAATTTATGACCTACAATATTTTATGTAGGATAAAAAGGTTTGAATTTCCTGATTATATAATCCTAGATGAGGTCACACGACACATCTGTGCACTTGATGACTGATAAAGCCTCAGCAAATGCTAGTATTGTAAATCATAAAGTGCACGAATACCTTGTGCGAACTCTACAAATTCCTACATTCTTCTACAATTTCAAAAGAGAAATCTGAAGAAAAAATACCATTGTCCATAAATTTGAATTTCTGCATTTTTTCATGCAAATTAACATTTTCTATTACACAAAAGTTTGAGTATAAATGGTATGAAAAGTACATGAGTATAAAAGCCTTCCCCCCCCCTCCCCATCAATATTTCCTACATGACAACTGTACCTAACCCCTTACACAATCCTAAAACCCTACTTCCTCCATTGATAATGCATTATAGTACTGTAAAATTATAATAATTTGTTTAATGAATCTGGGTTTTTCACTGCCTATTCTTCATTGTATGTCCAATATGTGCTTTCCTCCCACAAACAATTTTTAGAAGAAAATTTAAAGCAGTATTTGATAACATTTTAAAAATTCAGTAAGAACTTTATGTAAAATAATCTTTAAAATTAAAGAATTGAATTCTCAAGTTGAGTCACATTAATAGCAAAATATACATATTAGAAAAATTCAAAGCTAAGTTACATGTTGTTGCAGTTCACAGAAAAATTACACTTTCTTGCTATTTAGCCCCTCAAAATATATTTCTATTAAAATCTTATGATCACTTTTCCCTTGGTTTCAACGCTTCCACTATACTAAGAGTATGAGGAAGTTGAATACTATAATAACATTCTTACCAATAACACAGCATGTTTCAACTCGGTATTTATCAATTTCACAGGCTTGATGGGCAAGATGAGCCAGGTCCACTCGCATTTCTTGCACATACAATAAATTGGAATATGTGTCCAAGTTATCAAGACGACATGGGTCCATCCTCTGCAGTTGGCGAAATGTTTGAATTGCCATATCCACATCTTTAAAAGTCACACAAAAATATTTCACTAAATTATCAATGACTTACAACTAAACGTCATAATCATTTGAGTGTAATTTGAAATAAAAACCATTACAAACAGCACTTGCACAAGAAACAATAGTCAATGTATTTGATGGTTTACTCATAAAAAGTTAGAAAATGTAGCAACAACGTTTTAATAAAAAGTTTAGAAAATCACTTGAAGCTGTTTGAAAACTGAATAAAAAATAAATAAACTACTACTTTAAAAAAAAATAACTGACTACACTTTTGTCTAAACCTAAGCAATCAAACAATGGATACACTAAATCTAGATGGTTTTCAACAAAATTCAACAGAAACGGTTGTCATAAAATCAAAGCCACAAAAATTTGGGGGAAATTGCAAAGGTACACAAACACCTGATTGATTTAATCTTCTAGATTTGTACTGGAAATATGCCATCAGCAGAAAGACCTGACACATGAGATGTTCCCCAAAAATAAGTCTAGGACTAATTCTCTTTATACTTTACAGTTGTGACATGGAGGAGCATCTAAACACAAATTCAAATTCATAAGCTGATGACATCAAACTATTTACAAATCCACTGACTCTTGCAAGAGATTCAAGATGATCTCACTGGAAATACTAGCTGGAGAGATTCAAGATGATCGATACTTGGTTATTACCTATGAATAGCAATTTAATGTACAGTACTACATACTGGTACACAAACTTGATAAGTGAAACCTGAGATAAGAGAAATCAAATATAATTCATTGCAAAGACACTACAACAGATGGATTTTGAAGCATTGATCACACGATTCTGTGGCGAGGTTCAGGCCATGAGGCCTGATCTTCTTCTTGACCAAGCAAATTTCGCTCTGCTCCTTTCACCATCCGGCAGAGAAAGGAGGTCTCACTCGGGCTGATGAGGTGATTTGCATTCTGCTCTGACGCTTAATTTAGACTTGAGGATCTTTCAAATGCAATAAATCTACAATATGGGACAGGCGCCTTATTTCCCATCCAAAGCAAGGTGTAAGAAGAATTTTTCCGGTCTTATAACACCATGACTTTGATCAGATTTGACCCTGCAAACTTGGGTATAACAGTCTGATATGCCAATCGTTACACCACCGAAGCTATAAGCCACTCAAGGCAACAAGTGAAAAGGCAGGGTTGCCAGCGAGGCTAAAAGTGCTAAGACTGCTATGAAGCTAGTTAGAATATATATATATTTCTGTTTTCAGGGAAGGTTAAGGAGTATTTATTGGAGGGAAAATCTTTTCTAATTCACATTGTGATCATCCTCAGTGTACAAATGTTGCTGTTGGGGGACAGGTTTAAGAACAGATTTAATGTATACGAAAGTAAATAAGGTAATTATGTGTTTCAGTAGTTTTCCAAAACATCCACATTCTCTCCTTGGGTCGCACAGTATTGTTGCTGCTTTGGTGCCCTTCACAACCTGAGACAAATTAAAATCGAAACACAAAACTGGAAAAAAAATTAGACGTAAAACCAAAAAACATGTTTGCCTTTTGCATAACCTGGTCTTGAGGAAATGCTCTCAGTCAGAATCAGTTGTTCTGAAAGACAAAGTTTGTCGAGAACATTTCTGGTCCAAAATCAAAGAAGCAATAGCCTTTGAGGGCTTTGGTCATGCACTGCCAAAAGGGAGGGCCAAAAACCATTGAAATATCTAATACCCCACAAAGTCAAGCCATGATTTTGGCTTATGCCTTTTGTACTTTGGCTTTTGACAAGGGCATAATTTCTCTTTCTTTTCATAAACTGAAATTTTAATTACCTCTTCTGTTATGGAATGCAATGGCAGTCTGAGCTAGAATGTAATGACTGTTCTCAAATCCATTTTGTCGCAACATCCAATATATATCTAAAGCTTCATCGTTTAACTGTTGGTCCAAATATGTGTGTCCTAGGAAGAACTGTTTCATCCAATGATCAGGTAGATGAAGAGAATTTAACTGCAAAAATCATTTCAATGTTTATTACAACATCAAAACAAACAATTAATGAAGTAAAACTGAATTAAAAAAATACTATTAAGTTTTATATTATAGCACCTTGCCAAATAATTCATTATTATTACATAATCCTTGAAGGAACAATATATTATAACCAAAGTTCAGAGCATGGAACATCCTAAGGAAGTCATTTGAACTGGCACTTCGCACTGCTCTGTTGAGGGAGAAATCCACGGTGGAGGGGTCAAGGGAGAATTAGGGGTTTAGAGGGAGAATCTTTCAGTGGGGAAGGGTAGTGAGCAATGTGCGTAACTTAGCACATACTTATAGTAAGGAAAGTGTGGGCGTTTTTTTAGCGGTATGTAAATGGCAGACTCACTGGTGAAACAACCAATGACAAAAGTGAGGGTACTCTTAATAAAATGTAAAAATTATGCTAATGAAATAATTCATGGAAGATGTCAACTGAAAAGTTTTTGTCATTCCTTGAGGGTGCCTCCAAACTTTACGACAAGTGAAAGGAAATTTGTATTCATTTCTTTCACAGTGATTGGCTTAATTTTATGGAGGTTTAAGGGGACCCCCCTCCACCTCCCGTGCCCCCCCTACTTTAACTGATATTTACACTGTCAATCACTACTGTACCTTTGAGCGGTCTGGAATCAAAGTGGCCATTTCCAGCCATGCTCCCCAGTGCAGTGGTTCTTTATGTATAGATTCCACAAAAACATCCAAGGATTCCTTTTGTAAATCCAGTAATTTGAGAACAACACCATACAAATATAATCCAAATCCATCCAATCGGTGACTTAAGTAATCTCTCTTGAGTTCAGACATGAGGTCACGTAAATTGGCACTATGAACAGGATCATTTGGACAAGAGGAGTCTCTTGTATTCTCGAGTTTCTTCTTTTCTCCAGAGAGATATCGTGAGTATAAATGTAAAAATCTAGTTTTAGGAGATCGACACCATTCAGTAAAATGTGCGCATCTGTAAAAAAACAAATAAAATTAAAATCATCAGCAAAATAAGCATACCTGTAATCTTTCACTAACAATAACAGTGTGATTAAACAAAAGTGAAGGTATAAAAATGATCCAAAACAAAATTTGTCAGTGATACAATGAAACAAAACAATCCAAAATCATATTTTTTTCATTCAATTCCTTTTTAATATTATTAAGTGTGTTGCAGTCCTAATTTATGGAACATGACTTAACAGGGCACAGAATAAAAATAGAAAAGATAAATCGGCGCATTTCCTTTTTTTTTATCTTTTTAAGTGACTTAGCCTTAATTAACATTATTAGATTGGTCAACTGTCACACTTTATTCTCTATAATGTTCTCTTAATGATCTTAACATTAAAGTTGTTTCAGAAAAGATAACTAAGAGATTCTATTTTTAAGATAGCTCTTCAGAATAATCCCATGAAGAAATATTACTTGCACTTCTTGGTTGTAGAAAAGAGGTAAGTATTGCTAAGGCCATTTGATATTTTCTAGATTATCATTAAAGGCTTATGCTTACCTCATTTACATGTATTAGAACGTTACAAAACTTTGTGTAAGATACTAATTTATGTAATGATGAGTACAAGAATAAATAAAAAATACTACTAATAAATGTTACCTGTCATATTCTTTGACATCAAAAAAGCTTTTCGCTAGCAAATAACTATCTAATTCCTGTTCTTCTTCCGGATCAGGTATTTCTGGAGGAACATCACCAAGTGTCAATTTCACATCTTGAAGAGCAAAATTTAACTCTGAAAGCCTGAAAAGCCAGTACAAATGTTTAGCATTGCTCCAAAATGCTTACCAAAACTTTTTCTCTTTCAAATTACATATATTAACCGCGAAAATTCACTGGATGAGAAAAAGGATTATTTCACTAGCGGCATAACCTAAACACAACATACCATTTAGTTGTTTGAATGAGGCCGCGACACTGACATTGTCGCATTGCTTTCCTAATTTCAATCTTCATTTCTCGCAAGTCAAACTTTAATGACTCTTCAGCCATGACTACAAGTTGTAAAAATCTTTACACCTTGAAATAATATTAGCTAGAAAATTAGAATTCCCTCGCACTCACTACCGCCGCATCCATACACAACCAAAAATCGGAGCCAATCGAAGGCGACTCGACTATTCTGTTTATACTCGACATTTTGAAATTATCGATTTATAGCAAGTTTTCCCGCTCTCAGTACAAATTTACAAGATGACGCACCAATTGTGGGCCACCTCCTAAACGGTTCATGATCTCCAGGAGCAGTTTTCGCTCAACAATGCAGAATAATGGAGCAAGTAATATGCCGTAAAGATATTGTTTGAAATATTTTTAGGTTTTGAGAGATTTTATCATCTTTGATTTTTTAAATGGAACTACATATTTTTCTCGTCAACAATGGATAGATCGTAAAAATAGGAATACAACAATATTAAAATTACTATCAAAATACTAATGAAATATGCTTTTTCAGACGGAAGAGCAGGCTTGATTGCCCGAGTCTCGTCACGTACAAGTAATAGGCACTTCACATGTCGGGAGCTGAGAGCTTGTCCTAACCGCGGTGGGGACATCTGGAGGAGAAAAACCCGCATACCGACGTGTAGGCCAACGCCGGATCTCGACATGCCACCTTCCGTTTTGAAACACGCACTACACTTACGGGATTATTGAGCGTAGCAGTTGACACGCCCGGAAACTCGAAATAATAAATCAAAAGGGTCATGGGATCAGCTACTATTTCCTTTCTATTGCCCTGGGGTATTTACAAAACTTCACCATATATCTAATTTAAAAAAGACTGTCAACAGGAAAGATAAACATACGAGAAAGACATAACTTATGTTTGCCAAGTACCAAGAAATTTTGACACCATCAGTAGGCCCACCCAAATAATTGTTTCGAGTTTTGGTTGTCGCTTCTTCATATATTGGTCAATTACTTTTTAAATATTCAATAGCTGGACCTGAGGAGCAGATGCTATGTCAAACACAACGATACTACATCAAATCTTCAGGAATCTGAAATTCAGTGTCTAAGAAATTGTCTTCAGTTTCTCTTAACTTTTATCTAATCTAAATGTATGTGGTTTTTACACAAAGAAAATTCTTGATCTGAAGCCACTGTCTCTTACCATAGATCATCACAAGGATGGTCAACTATGGTCTTACCACAGTATATATTACACAGAATATTATTATTGATATGTATTCTATGGTCTTACCTACATTCAAGTCTTTACCATCATCTATTAATCCACGGTCTTACCTTCTAGATGGTGAGACGAGTGCCATGTTCAATTGCTAAATGCAAGCAATAGATGAAGCCCTCCTCGTTCCTAGGCAGTTGATCACCGTAATAGTTTGCCATTACTGTTCGTTAGATGAACAACGGCATGATGATCATGAGGGGGAAATTATGATAAAAGAATTATTATCAATGGGGCAAAAGTACAGATTATCTTCTAGAGGCAGAATAAATGTTGATGGAAAAACATTTTAAATCTCTTTTCTAGTATTTTAATGACATGTTTGGCCGCAACCAATTTTCTTTATGAAATTACATTTTAAGGCTTAATATACTAAATCATTATTTGATGAATGAACAATGTAATGGATACCATTTCAAGGTCTTTCTCAGGTTTTTCCAAATGTCTGGTTACCAACCACTTTTAGGAAAATTATGAAAACCATTGACCCCTACAGAAACGAACATAATTAACTCAAATTAAGAAGTAGAGTATTCAATATCAAAAATTAAATGTTATTCATTACTTAATAAATCATTTAAAAAGATAAATATTGAAACAAACAGCATTTTCCTTCACAACTTTTAATATCAACATCTGCAATTGCAAAAATTAAAGTTACAAAATACTATTAGATTAAGTCGTAGGCTTCCGCGGCCAGAGTCATGTGGGTGATCTGGGCTGTCCGGGTGACGCCGCGTCGAAGGCTGAGTTGCCGACGTTTCGACCATCCTGTCGTGGTCTTCCTCAGGGTTGGTGTGAGGCCGACGTTTCGACCATCCTGTCGTGGTCTTCCTCAGGGTTGGTGTGAGGAAGACCACGACAGGATGGTCGAAACGTCCGCAACTCAGCCTTCGACGCGGCGTCACCCAGACAGCCCAGATCACCCAAAATACTATTAGTTATATCATTTTTGAAATAAAAAAGGTCACAAATTAAAATTACTTCATTAAAATATATGAAAAACTGATAAAGTTTTTTCATGCATTTCAAGTTCCCATGATGACATTTCTCCTTCACACTTGTTTTGCTTTACTGGAATTGACAACCCACAACCAGATGCAATGTTTGTGTTAATCATTGGTTCTTAAAAAAAAATGTACATTTGTAAAACCCTTTTGATAGTGAATATTAAAAAAAATCTATCTTTTTAATTAATTTGATACTACCTATTGAAATAGTACATATTTTAAACTAACCAACAAATAATAGTAACTTGATACATAATCAGTAGAGAGAAGTCAATTTGTGTCTCTTTAAGATTCCCAATGTTTTTTCATTGAAACTATTGGCCCACAATATTATTCAAATTAGCCCTAGGCAGTCAATATTGACCACTTTGAAATGATTGATGTATTTTATTTATATACATTACATTTTATTAATGTTAACGGATTAATTTGAAGAACATCGCAATAAAATAAAATCAAGTCATATTATATAAAGAACTAAGGGCCTACAGTCTGGCCCTGATTGAGGTCACTGGTGGGTGTAAGCTCATTTGAAAACTTGTGGAATGATTCAGACGCAAAACTTGAGTTCAAGGCGGGCTTGAACCTGCGATCCTTTGGTCTGAGGTCGCTTCGGCACTACTTCCTTAGCGATCTTGGCCATCTGGACCGTCTGAGAAACCTTTTGAAAGAGGCATAATGTGACAATTTTCTGTGGGAAAAAAGAAGAAAAAAACACACACACACAACATGATAAAGGTATAGTTGAAATATAAGACGCAATATTTTTAAAAAATGGTTCATATTGTGATGTTTTCATTATGAGTGAAACACAGACATGTAGTTCTTATGCAGATTTATTTACACTCGTTTACTATGCACTATTTATACTCCTATGGAAACTTTTACCGATGCACTCCAGCCACCGAGGCAGCCACCCCAGTCTGACCCAGAGAATTCCAGCTTGCTAATGCTAGCACCATCCCTAGCCTCTTGTCCCGTGGTCAAAGTCACACCTCGCAAGCCGTGGCTTGCGATTACCTCCTTACTAGTGACATTGTGCCTCTACACAGTGGTTCGTCTCAACTCGAATGCCCCTGGCAGTTTCCTCCACAAGCCTATATTACGAGGAATCATGTGACAGACTCCCCGCACTGTAGACTTGTGGATCGCCTCATCTTATTTTGGAGTTTTGGGGTCGGGTGCAAATAGGGCCCACCGGCCAGTTGTATTCTGAGGCTGACATCACATATCATTCCCCTGTGAGCTAACTGAAACCCGTGTTCCAAGGGCCTCTGGCTCGCAGCCTCCAAGAAGCCCCGGAGCTCTGGTTACTGCCAGCCTTGCGTCAATGCACCAACCCCTCTCCCTCGCCGGCCGCATGCCTTGGGCAAAATGCTATGACGTTGCAATATATCTGTTTCAACGACTTGTAATAAGGTGATACTTGTGGTATCTGGCCGCATTTAAAATCCCCGGTTGTGATGCAAACTGGTGCATGACACACATTGCGTGAAGTCGGATAGGCTATACAAAAGCTCACCCATATCTTTTCTTCACACCCACTGAAGGCAAGAGAACTTCTACATTTAGTACCAATTGTGAAGATCCCAGACCACCTAAAAGGTTGTTGAGGACTCCTTTAAAAGCTTGGGAAGCCAATTTATCTTTAAATTGGAAGCACAATCCCCTAAAACCTGACAGTGTAATAAATTATTTTTTAAAAATTGTAATTAAGTATTTTGTTTTCTTTGACAGAATGCCCTCCTTGGTGTACTTGTTACTAGACCTGTGATAAAATACAAATAACTGAATTAGAATTTATCATCCAACTACGGTAAAACACAATTTTAACAACTTTGAGGGGACCTGGATAATTCTTTTTTATAGTGAAATATTTTTATATTGTAAAACATCAATACATAAGAACACATTACACCATATCCCAGATGAAGTAACTTTTGATAGCGATTGTAAGTGGTACTTCCTTTTCATTCAATTTCAGCCAAATTTCAATTCCAATTTTTCAAATCGGATTAACATTTTTTTTTAATGATCTATTTCTTTGATCAACGAGATTGGAAATCAAATGAAACAATTGCGATATGAAATCATAATGTCTGTAGCTTTTTTGAAAACTTTGTGCTTCTATCCAACCTGACAAGCATTGGATGATAAATACAACTCCACCAATCTCATTCGTATAATGAAAATGGCAATTATGGTAGAATTGTTTGAATAATTGTACACAATGTAATAAGAAACGTATTCAATGGATTTCAATCATATTTTCATGGATGATGAAAAATGCATAAAAATGAAATGTTTACTACATTCACATATGTTACACCATTTCACTGCATTAAGGCTCTGAGGAGTTAAATATACATAAATTAGAAGTTATACGTAACCATCCTGTACAGGTAGATCAGCAACAGTTACATTGAATATTATCATTCTTAATTTTCATCCAAATTTAAGTGTAATGCATTTCATGAAGTGATTGTCTCTTCTTTGAACAGCACATATTCGTGTGTGGCTAAATCAAACAACTTCATGGTAAAATTGTTATTTGTACATCAAATGATTTGCATTGGTTAACATATAATATCCTTCCTAATATCCACTTAAATATCCTTCCAAAATTTAAAACTTGTCAGTATTAGCCTACTGCTTCAAATATTAACACATTGTATTTGCTGAGGAGTGGTGATTGTTTCATGCTTTCAGGCTGACTCCATTCTACCTTGTAACCACAATGAGCATTAATGAAGTGTTAGGGACAATAATTAGTAACGCTAAATAATGAAATATAAATACATTTATTTTCACTACACCTCACTCTCATTCTTCTCTTCTGAATAATTCTTAATGTCATTTTTCTACATAGCTTGATATTGCAATGCAATAACAACTCACTTATTAAAATATTATCAAAATCACACCCATAATATTTATTTACAATGTTGTAACTAACGTGATCACAGAAAATGAACATCAACAAAGTCTATATGCAAACTTCACATGCATAAACTCTTTCAGAAGATAACAGTACTGCTTTTAGGCTGGTGAACATGTCATATAAAATGATTCTGTAATATTCACTGTTCCGATTTACAAAACAAGAACACCTGACTCCACATATAGCGCAGACGTATTTCAAGAACTTCATGTTTATTTCATGAGTAATCACAAAAGTCCTGAGTAGTTTTTGTCACATTTCACATACTTCTCAGGCACTATTAAAATCCATTTTCATTTTCAGTTATACTCTCGTAAGTCCTCAAACTTTCTGAGTCCATTGAATTTTCAAATTCATTTTCTTCTTTCTCAATCTCCATTTTCTCTTGAGATCGAAACTCAGATTCTTGCCAGTTCTGAATACCTTCAAAATTCACAGACTTTTCGACATTTTGCATGTACTGGGCGAGTTTATCATCTTTGAATATCACATCACCACGATGAGGCCGAGGGTTGACCTTCTTAGGAGGTGGCACAGCTGGTCGGAATACCATTTGGCTGCAATTATAAGTTTCTGCGAGAACAGCAGGAGACAGTTTGGCAACCTCTGGTGCAAGAGTGGATTCTTCATTCTGTAAAAAAGAAGAAAAGTTATGTGTAATACCCACACTCTCAGCCCCTAGACCAGACCATTCATTAATTTTTCTGCAACCATTTATTAGCACATTGTAGCAACATGAAATGTTCACAGCTGTAACAGGGGAAAATCTTTTTCTTTAGAGCACAGGGGCATTACTGGTGCTGTATGGTATCCATTTTTACCCAATTCAGGTCAATTTCATTAAATTTCCTTCTGAAAATAGATTTTATTATGGTTCACATTAAACACTGTGGTGGTATAAATCTACATGTAAATTTCAGATGATGAAAGGTACAGTACATGAAGAAAACTTCAGCAAAGGCTTCACGAAATTATTGAGCATCAGCTTAACCAATCAATTTTTCAGGATTGTTCAAAGAGTAATGAAAAGACAAAAGTCAATAACAAGTCATAAATACAGAAGTACAACAAAATTGATGCAAGCCTGCCCGTCTCTTTGACACACAGGCTTTGAGCTAGGAAAAATATAGCAAAATTGATAACATTCAGTAGTACATGGCAACTCATACCCAGTTGAGTTCACCTGAACTGTGTCAGAGGCCATTGTCAACAAAAGTAAATTAGAACTCTCAGATGTATTAACTAGTATTAATTGGAGAATATTTTTATAATTCATAATTAGTACGTGTAAATATTGTTCAGAAGGGTTAAAACTTACATTCAAAATATTTTGAGCCATTTTCCGCACATCTGGATGATAGTGTCGTTTCATTAATAACAGTTCCCATAGACAACTAGCACCAGCACCACAGTATTCAGGTTCTGGCAGCTCAGGTTGATATATTCCATCTCCATGAGTTGCATCAGTATCCAAAAGTACATCACAAGCACTTGTCTGCATCAGCACATTTCTTATTACTGCCAAATAACCCAAAGCAGCACCATGTAACAAATGTGGTGCTAAAGTAGATAAGCGCTTTATAAAAGCCATCAATCTCTGCAAAGACACTTTACGCCTCCTAGCAACAATAGCTTTCTCCAAAGCACGTAATACAATTAAAGCATCTGCGTTGGTGGAACCAGCATGAACATGTAGCAGACTGCGATATAAATGAGAATAGAAACGCAAGGGGTCTATATTCAGTGCCTCGCCCTGTAACACAAAAGAAACAGTATTTTCATTTCTCTAACAACCATTAATCAAAGATCATGATTACAATGGGTCTGTATCACAACTCGCTACCCATGTCTGGAAACACCACCCCTTGTTTTGGCAAACTGGTAGCACATGAAATACTTTCGGCACCCCTTTCACTTTTAGGGATCCCCAGCCAGGTGCCCTCAGATTTAGGGGTGAGAGAATGTGGCTAATTTTAGTTGGAAGAGAGTGAAAACAACTATTTTGTCCTTGTTACTCTTCAACATACTGCAGCCACTACACTGAAAAGAGTAAACACCTGTCTCTTAGTAAATACTGATCACTTTAAGCACTTACTCAAAGGTCAGTTTTTTTTTGTCATTTTAAGGAAATTATATTTTATTAGTATTTTCAATAATTTTCTTATTTGCTTAATACGCAAATTCCATAATAATACATTATTATTCTTATAAATAAAGAAGAGTTAGGCGGTTTTGTTTCACAAGATATCTTTCTGATTTCTCTCTGTGCTGGCTCTCATTAAATAATAATTATTGTTATGTTGCTGTTAATAAATAATAAATCAGTCATAACTTCCCTCCACATCTTCAGCATTACAGTTTTGTTTCTTAAGCACCCTGCACGAAATCGCTTAAAGAGACGTTTTGTTTTCCCACTCGTGCCTCAGCCCACCCCATTCTACCCCACCTAAGGTCACCTCCTCCTGAGCTCTCTTGAAAAGTGGCAAAGAGCCACAGTTGCCAAATTACAAAACCAAGAACAAATGCTCTCAGACATGGGTTGCGGGATAAGACAAAAACCCAAATATGACATGAATTTGACATTTAGAACTTATGTTTAATCTAACAATAAATAACCATTCTAAATGAATTATTACATGCTCTGTGCAAGTGCTTATTTCCTCAGCTCTGTGCAAGTGCTTAATCTCTGTGAAATACAATTTTTCAGGAAGGAGAAATATTCACACTCGGCCATATACTTCATGATGGGATTCAACGGTTTTCAGCTATCACTTATCTTAATGCTATTTTTAATACAAAATTTGTCAACATGATGAAGAAGCATTTTAAGAATATATTAATATGTAAAATTAGAAAACACTTGCAAATAAGTTACTTTGGAAATAAGCTATTCAATTGGTGAAACAAAAAAAAAATACCTGGCCAGACAGAATGGTAAATACTGTCTCCACACAGTGCAATTGTTCAACATGGCCCAAGTTCCCTTCTTCTAGAAGATGATCCAGAACATTCACGAGATCTTGGAAAAATTCCAAGTTGATGCAATGTGCAAACTTTGCCAATCCTTCCAACGTGACACTTAGTAACTTAGACGATGGTGCGCATTTCAATACACGAAAGAATATTGTGAACACTGTTTTGGTCACTTCAGTTAGATTCCTCTGCTTGCTCTGTTTGTTTTCTTCAGCCTGAAAAATGCAAAATTGTATTTAGCATTCAACCACAGTAGAAATTCTACATTTCATGGTTAACAGATCTTCACGAAGCTTCTGATAATTACAGTGGAACCACCATTACTTTAATGCCATTAATATCATCCTAAATTATCTTAACACAATTTATTTGTAAGAGAAGTGAGTGAAGATAATCACAAATGTTTCATTCATTAGCTTGTATACATAAGGTTCTACCTTATGTAACTGGAAAAGAAAGAAGGGAAAAAAGGACAGTTCCTTAAACATATTGTTTTTTGATGCGTCAGAAAGCAATCTAATGTTCCTCTATCAAAAATATGTTATGGACATGTGTCCAGTTTCTAGATTTGTTAATCAAAGAACTTATTGTCTGAACTATATTTCCTATTTATTTCGGAACACATGTATGTATTATATACTTTGCTTTAACCTAATGGGTAATTAAATAAATAATCAGCTATTATTACATATATAGAGTCTTGATGAAGAAAACCATAACCAGTATGAACTGAATTCTTATCATAATTACCTTGGTTTCAAGCATTTCTTTCTCAAGTTCCTCCATTCGCTTCTGCCTTTTTCGTTCTCTTTTTGACAGACTCAGAATTTTCTGTTTGCGTGCCTTGAACTTCTTGTCTCTTAGCTCTGCCTCTTTCTCAGCATCAAGATTAACATCTCGCAAGCGCAGAGCCAACAGGACAGTTAGAACTTCTGGACGAACAGAATGGTTTTTAGTGCGAACTAACTGATTGATTCTGCAAACATACCAAAGTGCTTAATTCAAGAACAGTTATTAATAACAGCGTGAAAAATGAAATGGTATTTTGCAAGAAAGAAATAAAATGACCCATTTCTAGGCGACTGAATCACAATCTGTGTTTTAAAAGAAAGGCAATACTAAAGAAAGTGAAATACAGTAGTTACAATTCATAAACAATAGATGGTATTATATTAGAGTGATAAAGCAAATAAAGTGAAATTTAATTTTTAGACAGTACTCTAACAAATACTAATCAGATTTTAATTCAATTGCAAATAACATGCTTGTAAAATTATGGAAAATCATGAGTTTTTGACAGAAATCAAAAGGATTTTCATGATATATAATATCAAATAACGTTTATGTCTATATGTTCTTGACACAACACAGGAAAACTAAAAATGTTATTTATTTTTATCAATAATACACTGGACAGTCAGATCACTATGAGAATGTACATTTTTGCTGCACTATTTTTGAAGACTCCTTTTATAGATATAATACAATATATTCAAAATTAATAATTCAATGCATTCAAAGCACAGGACAAGATGAAAATTAATACAAAAACTAAATAACTACAATGCTTACCTGCGAACGATATGTAATGTTATTTCACCTCGTTTGTCCTCTTTAATGACTGTACGTAAACCATTCATAACAATATCTCGAACATTAGAATTCTTATTATCAAGAAAGTGAACTAAGTCTTGTGCAATATTAGGAGAAAAATTGAAGTATGGATGACGAACAAGAAGCTCTGTCATGCAGCGTACTGCCAACTCCCCAAGCCTTACAGCCTTTTCATCATAAAACTTGGAGTCTCCACGTTTTCGCCTCACAGCTTTTGTCATTTGCTCTAAGCTCTGCAAGTATGTCTACAAAAAAGATCGTGAAGCTTAATTATTATTACATATTATTAATAGTACATAATATTCACATGAATTTGATATTTGATTGTTCCTCAGAATTTTCACTACCAATAGACAAATTAAATTTCATACACATTTCGCAAGGGTTATTGAAAAAATATCCCGAATCTTTTTCTCCTGCGTATACCTAAGAGCTATGTAACATCACTGGTGAAGCATACGCAAAAATATTCCACACTACCAAACAGGTTAAACTTGTCTTGAGTTAAAGATTTCTGGCACTAGATGTGAACTTAATTGAAATCAACTGAAACTCTTTACAGGAATGAATGAAAGGACTAACTGACAACACAACACAGAAGAGTGGAATGTAGTTGAAATAATTGCAAGAGGTAGATATTAAAGAATTTAAAATGTAAGAGATACTTATTAAAGCTATTAAAGCATTGTTTAAAACTAAGTCAAGTAGTATTGTTGATATTCCTTCTGAAGTGTTGAAATATATTTATATATAAGTAAAAAGCTTTAAATGTGTGGTCTATTTGGTAGGGTACTGCTCCGGCATTTGCCTGGTATTGATTAGAAAAACCAAGGAAAACTACAGATCAGAGTAGCCAGCCGCTAGAATTCTTCTCCAGACAGCAACAGAACTTGATCTAGCTATCTGGCTAGCACCAAAAATCCTGCAACCATTGGAAATCAAACCCCAGAACCTCCCGGTCAGAAGCACAGACATCAGTTGATACATTGAGCTACCTCTCCCGGTTTCATCTTCACAATAATTTAATATGACTATTACGGAGAAATCAGGAAGTCGTTAAAGAAATGAAAAGAAAATTAGAAAATTGTGCTAGGAAATATATCAGTAATAAATCTTACCATCACCAAAGTAAGGTGCCATCATAGTTTAAGGGAATTTTCAGACCAAAGTACAAGGACCGAATGTTATAAGAAGATCAAGAGAAGTCTTAACAAGGAACACGCCTCAAACCTTTAATACTGCAGTACTTGCTTAAGATGATGATGGCTTGGAATATTATATTTTTATATAAGAACATTAACATACCTTGTATGCTTTAAGTAAAGATTTCTCATAATTTTCCAACTGCTGAGTAGTTTTCTTTAGTTTGACTCCTCCTTTTTTTTCCTGGTGCTTTATTTGGTAAGATGGCAAAAGGTCTTTGAACACTTCCATCAGGGACACAGCCGCCAACTTTTGGACAGTCAATTGCACTTCAGAATCCTCTGTATTGAGTATTTCCAATAAAAACTGTGATAAGAAAAAAAACCAAAATTAAATGAAGCATAACTTGAGGCTGATAAAAATTATTTAAATCAATATAATACAGTCAAAATTTTAAAGAAGCTTGTTTCACTCATTATGTATTAGGAAGAGAACAGTTATGGCGGTATCTTGATCACTGGCCCTGAAGCTGAAGTGTATTACTTGTAACAGGCGAACTTTGCGTTTTTAAAATTATACAGTACAAATGTTAACTATACATTATACATCATTGTTAAAATAAATCTTATTTTTCTTTTTGATGGTCCATACAGTCTCTAATTATAGAATGCATCAGAAAAAATTTTAATAGTTCAGTATCATCTGGCAATGGGTTGTAAAGTAAACTACATATATTTTATGTAGATTTCTTGTAGTGAGCTGTTAATACTAACACCAAATGAATATGATTCATACAGTATGTATTCTAATTATGAATACCTTTATTGAATAATTGTTCCCACCCCCTAAGTAATTTAGACAAAAACTACATAGTAACTAAATAGGTAAGCAAAGCAATGGTACGATTCTGAGCTCAGAGAAGAGAGGCTTGCAGTTATCATGTGGAGGGCATTTATATATTATTTGTAAAAATTTTTTCTGCAATCTAAAAGTCTGGGTTTTCTAGGATGTGCTTTCTAAGAATATTACACCATATCTCATGCAGGAATGTACATTCGCCAAATATACAAGCTGCATGAAAGCTGTCTAAGTTTGAAAGAATTCTGAAGGTGTAGGAGATTTAATTCAGTTCATTTATATGGATATTCCATTTGCGGTTTGACTGAATTGAAAGACCCAGAAGTTTTGTTACCTTTGCAAAATTAAAAATTAATGAAATAGAAATCTAGACAAAACATTAAGAAGTTAAATACACCTGCCACACAACATCAATCAAACAAACCAGACTCGGTTTTTGATATTTTCTGCACATTCAATTCCCCAGATGCAATATGAATAAAACTACCAATCATTTTGTTTCAGATATTTTTTGACATCAATTTCTTTTTCTTAAGCTATTTCATATTCCAAGTCATTTAGCAATGATATATAATACTTAATACAAATGCAACTGTTTGAATAATTTTAAAACATTTTTTGATTTTTTAATTATGTTTAAAGATTTGAACATCATCTCACCTTAAAATTACGAACTTTCATTTCTGGTGTTTCAAGCAAGCCAGAAGCAAGTAGACCAATCTGGAATTTCCGCTTGCGTAACAAATCCTCTCGACATGCAAGCAAGTCCACTGCAGCAATTGATTGAGGTACTACCTCTTCAAATTCTTTCTCCATCAATTCCAGTTCATTTTCTTCCTCCTCCTCCTCCCCCTCTTCCTTCATTTCCTCTTCTCCTTCTGTCAGGCCCTTCTTCTTTTTCTTCTTTTCTTCCTTCTTTCTTTTCTTTTCTTCTTCTTTCTCTTTCTCTCTAACTTCACGTTCTAATCTCTGTCTCTCTTCTTCTAACACATCGACCTCAGTCGATCGCATTACTAAACCCTCTTTCGTCTTGATGGGAAGAAGCAGTTTAGTGCGTTTACTTTCTGGTCGACCCATCTCTTCCTCATATGCATTTTCCAGTGCATCATTATCCCCTAACTTATTCCTTGCAACATCACCACGGCCTCTTTTACCAGATTTTGATTCTGCAGATCGCAATTTCTGCAAGATACCATAACTTCTTGCAGCAACAGAATTTTGTAAATACAATAGATCTTCGGGTTCCATCTAAAGAAACATTTAAGTAAAAATTAATATCACATAACACTTAATATAGAAAAAAGGAACAAAAAACAAAATTCTTATTTTACCATAGTCAACATTTCTTCACCAGCGATTTCTTCCTCTTGTTGAGGTTCTGGTTTCTGGGAGTTATCTTGGGGTTTGATCCCATAGTACTTTGAAGTTTTCTTATTTGATTTGAGCTTGCCCCGTTTCCCCAACTTATTACGCATGTGATTTTGGCGTTTTACTTTACTGATTTTAATTCCTTTTTTCTTGGCCATGTTGTCTGTAAGAGAAGAAAACAAATTTCTTAGCAGGGCAACATACAGTAAATGCACATTGCTGTTTAATTAAAATAATTTTATGTCTGTGTCGAAAATCATTGTGAGAAGGAACCAAAAACTTCATCACCAACAATTCTCTATCATATAAATTCTGCAGCCATCAAAATACATTTATCGACAGCAATACTTACAAATTATCCTCAAACCGCCAATGCTATTTAATCTTATCTTACTAACAAATAATTGTCTATAACATTGTTTCAACGAAATTACACCACCAATATCATAAACAACAAGGCATGTTTAACCTTAATTCAAATATTGACATTTTCAAATCTCACCTCTTCTTTTCTTTTATATTTGCAGAACGAAAGGGATAAGTAATTATTTGCTGGTGACGTATGTTAAATACTTGTCAGCAATAAAAGAGTACTCATTTCACAAATCCGAGGATAGATCACAAAAATACACGTGCACTTGTCGGCATTTATTTGATCGATGGTCATGTAAATCGATAATTTTCACACGTTTTCGACGAAGTGGCGTTCAGCAATCGACTGCATTTCTAAAGGGCTGCTATCGATAAACGAACTGTATATTCCCATGATGCAATATGAAGTTATAAAATGACGTTTGGCGGGAAAGTGTTGGACGGTAACCTCTGCTGTGCACATAAGCTATTTCTAGAGAATTAGTAAGTTTTTGGCTGTATTATGCTGTTGTCGAGGAGCATTTGTTATTTACAATGATAATTGCTTCCTTTCTTAGGTTCTGGCTGCGAATTTCATCTTCAAATTAAGTATTATTCGTCTTCAAATTAGTATATTAAAAAGCACTATTTTTTTCAACATGTTAAGTCACCAATTTTTCTTTTTGAAGACGGTTCGAAGTAAATAGGATCATGATCTTAGCGATGATACTACAGAGATACTTTATAATAAAATGATATGTATGAAGCATTTGGCTTCACGTGCCCTTTTATCGGTTATGAAAAGTTACAACGGATTTCGAGTCCCTGTGGTATTAGAGTGGAAGTGACTTCATATATTTTTATAAACGGTCGGGTTTTCAAGTATTTATGTTAAAAATTTGTATTAATTAATAGCTAGCATCGAGAGAAATATTACATACATTGAACTTTAATAATCATTTGGAAAAATCCAGAATGTGCATAAACAGCCCCAAAAAATTTTCATATTTTTGCACGGAAAGGGGGAACTTTCAACACCAAGTTAATCAGAATTTAATATAATTTAACTGTTATAAATGTAATAAATATGTTTGTTTAAAAATATAAATAAATATTGCACTTCTTATCATATTAAAAAAATGTTTGCAGTTCCCTGAGCTGAATTCAAATTTTGATGGTTGAATTTCAATATCCAAGTGAAGCTCTTAAAATATTTTTTGTTATCTCCAATGATTTTAATGTTATAATTTTTATGAAACGAATATCAGTATCTTTTGCTTGGCAAGTTTTAATAAACATTTAATGCAATTTCTTGCTATAAATTTGAGGAGCGTTCATGCAAATAACATGTTCATCAAATCAGATTTTTCAGGAACAGCGAAAAAACTGGTTGTTAGCAGGTTAGTAACCACCGGCGTATCCCATCGCGATCAGGTTTTTGTCGTTTCCCTGATTCATTGAGTAAATGCTGAAATGGCCCCTTGTTTTGTTTCTGGACGTAAATGTAGTTTCACTATGCACACGTTTTGTTGAACTCTCCTTTTACTTGTAATGGTAAGAGTAGAGGTAAGGGCGAGTTGCTATTTTGTTAGCAATGCAGAAAAATCATACTTGCAATTCGCGTACCGATGCAAATAAGTTTTCTATGACTCGGAAACGAAAATGACTATTTTTCAAATATTGCTAATCTTACGATTTTAAAATTTAATTTGTATTTATTTATGTTAAACTTTTTCTCATCTTTCAACTATTTATTGTTAAAATGACGGGAAGGGATTCTGGAACTCAAGAAAACGTGCGCATATAATCTTCTCCCCCAACGTCACATATAGTTTTTACTGTTTTTTGACTAAATAAAGCTAAATATTCGGGGCTGCTCGCCAACTGTCTAGCAGACCGGATGAGCGAGGGGGAAGGTTCTCTGACTTCAGGAGACTAAAACACTCCTAGACAGGACCCAGACTGCCTAGTCTCACCCAGGGTGGAGAAGGACTCGGAGGCCGTAGAAAAGGGAACCCCTCTAGGGGAATAAACCCTGTATAAAAAATTTCCTGCAAGCCTAATTGCAGAGAAATGGCAACCCCATCACTAGGCTTTCTCTGCGCAGGGTTGGTACGTAGCCCAACCAGAGGAGATTTGTTTCAATTACTCATAATGCTCAGATGATAACTATGACAACGAATAAAGGCAAACTCAAATGGATAGACGAAGAATCTCTGTATTGGAGCGTGGAATATTTGAGGCTTATCAGCAAAGATATAGAGTTGGAATCAGAATTAATAAATATGAATATAAATATAGCAATAATATCATAAAGAAAGAAAGAATAAATTAAGAGGCTACAATATTTGGAATAGTATATATACTATTTTATAGTGGAGTACCCCAAAATAAACGCGCGTCCTCTGGAATAGCTTATTCGTCTGAACAACAAATACAGAAACAGAGGTAATATCTATACCATTGTATCGGATAGAATTTTAAATATAAGGTTAAAAATTAGAAGTCTAATGATAATTGGACTATATGCCTCAGAGGAAGGCAGGAAGGAAGTCAGATATTACACAAAACGCTACAAACCTATGTTGACAGAATTAATAAGAATAATTATAAAATTATTGGGGGTAATTTAAATGCCTTAATTGCAAGACAACCTATTAAAGATATAGTGGGGGAGAATGGAGAAACTACGATAAATGAAAATGCGAAAATGGTTCAAAATTTTGCTACATTTAATAATTATAGAATATAAAATTCATTTTATAGCCAAGATATACACAAATATATGTGGTGTAGTAGTAGAGGCACTAAATCTATTATAGACTAAATTCTTGTAAATAAAAAAATTAATGTCATAAGTACAAGAGTATATCGAGGACCGGATATTAATTCTGATAATTTCCTCGTTGTCTCTACTATCAATTTACTATATAGATGGGCTACTACAGTGCACCAGGTTTGTTAATCTCCCTTGAATGGGCATGTGGAAGGAGGGGTGATCTACCGCTACTTGCCGTGAAAATATCTCTCTCCCACTCACACTATGCGCCGAACCTAGAGTGGCCGGCGGAGGGGAGGTGGCGTTGGAAAGCACAGGCCGGCTGTTTTCCCTGGGCTCAACATGCAGTAAAAGCGTCAGATACCCAAATCAAATAAATTTCAACAGGCTTCGCACAAACGCTAACTCCTTATGTACTCATAGTAAGGTCCAGTAAAAGAAACATATGTATAGGAAACATTGCTTCAGGTCCTCAGTCCTATTGCTTTCGACTTCGAGAGCTGTGCAAGTGTGGCGTGTCTTAGCGTAGGCCTAATTTCAAGTGAAGTTCACAGGCGTAATATAGTGTGTTTGTTTCTAAGACGACAGTTCACAGGTAATATGGCCTCAACATCAAGTTCAGTGGAGAGTAGACCTCTTAGAGGACAGGCACGGGAAGATCACCGGGTACACGAATATTTCAAAGATTTAAAAAAGAAAATATCATTAAGTGCTAATGTGATTAACATGACTAGTAACGCAACAGAAGTGCGTGATTCATGGTGAAAAGAATCTACAGCAAGAGGTAAGCTGACATTCTCCACTCCAAGAGGAAAAAGGTAGAAGAGAATTGAAGCGCATTCTTTTACTGCGCTGCAATTCGTCAGAAGGTGCATAGTTTGTACGTTTTGTGAAAGGAATGTTCAACTATTGAGAATTTGCAGGCATCATTAAAGGAAGATAGTGTCATAGACTGAGGTAGGGAATTCCTAAGAAAGAGACTAAAATAATTGGGATTCAGTAGGAAGAAATGTCAGTCGATCGGAAACTTTTGGTTGAACGCTCTGATATTGTTTCTTGGCTCTCAGTTTTCAACAAATTGTTTTTAATTTCGATAGTGGATTCGTTTAGGAATTTGATAGTGTACAAAGATAGTGTCGAAAAATCTTTGTGAATCTCTAGTAAACCATTTGTTGTATGGACTCCCGTATGTATCTACGCCCCACCAGTTGTTGGGTAAATTTTATTGAAGGCTTTAATATGAATACTTGTGTAATTTGTCGACCACTTAACATTTTCCTGAAGTTCTTTTAAGAACGAAGGCAGACTAATTTACTAGGGGCAAATGGTAAATATTTATGCCTAGACAAATATATTTGACCTTCAATATGTAATTAAATGTGTCAATTGGTGTTATACCTGTATCTTTATGTGTATAAACAATCTAGAAGATGAGACTGGGATTCATTTTGAAACGATATTTAATAAACAATGTAGGACACTACAATGGGAAGTATAATTTGAATTACCACCAATTTGAGAGTACAAGTTGCGGTTCTTTCACGCATCTTATTCTAATTGCATGTAAATGACGTACGGAATCACCATTGACTATTTGCATAACAGAGTTTTGCCGATGACGTGCCGTTTGCCGATGACGTTCCGTGTAGATAGACGTCGAAGCGCAAAAAACTCAAATAATTCAAACTGCCATCGACAACAGTGTTGCCATATCGGCGGAATTCCGCCGTTTTCAGCGGATTTTGAGCTCTACGACGCGAAAAAAAATTAGTTTCGCGGACAGCGGAATAAACGGCGGAAATATATAAAAGACGGTGGAAAATAAGCGGAATTTTCAATCTTCACTATTAAGGCCTGGCACATAGCGTGTTCGACAAGAAACATTTTAAATAACAATAAAAGACAACAATTCAGTCTACATAAGTGCGTCCTTTATTATTATTTTAAAATATTGGGCTCGAATACGCCAATAACGACGGCTATGACAAGAATAACAATTTCCTTATCTGTTCATGAATTCATAAGCATTTGTCCTTTTTCTATCATCGTTTGTTTTAATAGAATAAATCAATACAATATTGAAATATGGAAAAAATAATTTATTTTACGTTTAGCGATTTAGGCGGGAAATTTAAAACCAGTTCAGCGGATTTTGGAAACTGAAACGAACATGGCGGAATCCTCGAACCAACGAGTTAGAGATATTCTAACTCGTTGCTCTAAACACATCTGGTAACGTGTTGACAACGTAGCAATTTGAAACAACACATTGCACAACTTGCACCAGCAAATACGGTGCTATACTCGGTAACATGAAGTAAAAATATAAATGTAATATCATTATAAGAAAAACCTATTACAATGTGTATGTGTACACGTTACTACATACGCAACAGCCACCTGGAATCAAGTCCAAAGATTTCTATCATCTTGAAGTATTAGAAAACTGAATTGTAAGAACTATCATGAACCAACATTCAGCAGACTTAAACTCGTTATATAAAAAACTGTTTTGCTAACATAATAGAAGAAAATTCGAAAAATCTAGCCATCAAAGATTCACATAAAGCATTAAACGACAAAGTCCTGCACACTCGCTCTTCCTCCTAATACCCTAAATAAAAAAAACAACAACAAATAAAATATTAGAAACAAGAAAAATAAGTAGCTACTACACAAAAAGAGAAAGACATTTCGAGAAACGACACCAGAAAACAATACGCCGAATGAAAACGGAAGAAGCTCGCGGGTCGTTCTTAAGCACCTCTCTGAAACGGAGCGACTTATGTGGAGTGATAACCAGTCACTTGATCACGTTGTAATTATGTATGATGTAATTTGTACCCAGCTTCGGCAGAGTGTGTTGTTAATTATAAATTCCATAATTCAACATCATGTGTAGAATTAAGATGTATATTAATTATCTGTGTATAGTTATATTTATTTAATAATATAATAATTACAATACAATTATGAATCGGGTATTCCATTTAAGTGGTCTAGAATAAATATAATGGTCGCCTCACTATCTAAAAAAATCCACAAAAACAAACATACTTTGCGTATGATTTCACTTTTGATCGGCGAATGAAATTAAAACTCCGGTATGTTGAATCACAATTCTTCTATTTATTTGAAAGAAATGGCAAGTGTGGTGCAGTACCGCACTGGGCTGAGACATTTTTGGTACTCAAAGATACTTCTTTATTTGGTTCCTAGGTGCTCAATTGTAAGGTCGTTAGTCCTGTAAGTGAAGTGCGTGTTTTTTTTATCGCGGGAGGCGGTGGTGAATAATGAGATTGATTGTGATCTACACGTCGACTTGCAGGTGGTTTTCACAACCAGGCATCTCCACCAAGGGCTCCGCCCAGCCAGGTCGAGCTCTAATTCCGAGTCTCACGACATGGTGGTAGTGTAATGTACAGGTGCACGCACAAAATCGGACAAATTGAACATTTTTCTTTACACTATATTTTTTTGTTGTAAACATGAAAAATTAAACAAAATGTTTTTACACGTAATGTATAGGATCATATGAATAATTTATTCTATATATCCCCACTTGCTTGAACGACCGCGCTCCAATCTGGTCTGAACCGCTCGCAGGCCGGTGCAAGCATTACGGTCCATTTCGGCGAATGCTGCTTCAATAGCGACTCGCGAGAGATCTACAGTTCGGTTTCTCGATCTTTGTCACTCTCTCAACCACGCTCATACATAATAATCCACGGATTTAATCTGGCTGTTGGGAGGCCAGAATCCTTCGACCAAAACATGTCGATATTGTCCATAACCAATTCTGCACCAAATGACTCGTATGGCGGGCGCACCGTCTTGCGGAACACATATGGCTTCAAATGCTTACGTTGTCCATCCACGGCTTCACAACGTTAGATAAGCAATTCACATAAACCTCCTTGGTCACATTTCCCCTTTTTGGAAGAAATGAGTGGCATAACATCACCTTCGCGACGAAAAACTCCTAGCACGTGCACATTGGCCGGAAATTTTTTCTCGATACCAACAGGGACATCTCAGGGATCGCGGGCAAGCCAGCGGTCATTCTTCGATTAATTTTTGCGTCTACCGTTAAAAATTTTCTCGTCGGAAAAAAATCTGATTCGTCCAGCCGCCTTGTTCCGTAAGGAGCACAAAAAGAAGATTGCACCGTTCAACTTCTTCGTCCTGGCGGCTTCAAGAAAGCATCTGTCGAACTTTGATGGTGTAGGACTTGTAACGGAGGTCTTCTGCAATCTGAGCATGTTGTCTCACTTATTCCGACAAGCGACGCAATTTTTCGGATCGATTTCCTGGATCCAAAAATCATTCTTGAACGCGTTGAATGACTCTGCGTCCTGACTACGCGCTCCTTCGAGTGCACTTTTCTCGCGGGTGTTAGGAGACCTTCCTCTGACTTCTCCGACTCCTTGTATTTGGCCACGACATCATACACTGTCGATCTCGGATATCCGAAGAAGCTGATAATCTCCGTCGCTGAGCGACCAGCGCGAACACTTTCAGTTATCGCTGCTCTTCGATTGTATTCTTCGCTTTGTCTACATTGCGACTGTTTGAGTGTATGTCTGCTTAGTAGATGGGTATACGATTTCATTAACAATCGCGACATCTTTAGGTGCATAAAAGCGCGGGAGATTCAAATCTAATTTTGTCCGGTTTTGACCGCGACCCTGTATGTTAAGTTAGTGTAAGTAAGGGATGAGGATAGGACAAGGGAGATGAAGGAAATGTCGGGCCCTGTCTGTGGTCCGTTTGTTAGGCACTGCTGCGGCATTCACCTGGAATTGATTGGAGAAACCACGGATAACAACCGATCAGAGCACTGGTCGCTAGAATTCTCTCCAGATCACGTCTGATTTCGACTTTTCTATCGAGTGTCGAAAATCCCGCCACCCTCGAACTCGAACCCTAGGACCTCACGGTCAGAGGGACTGCAGTGACATCAATTGATGCCCTGAGTCGGTACAGACCTGTGGCTCTTGTCTTGGCTCTTCTGTGTTCTTTGATTTTGTGAAGGTCAAGTCACGAAATTTGTGTGAATTCATCTCAAGTTTTGTATCAACCATGATTTCCCTGAAATCTTGCTACTCATCATCAGACGAAAATGTAACCTTTTTGGTAAAACATCACCATTAGATAAACATAGCATATTATGGTAATATTTTGTTTAGTAATGCAATAAAACAATTTCCACATGGTTTAAAACATAATGGGGTAGTAAAAACAATAATAGGGACCAATAAAGAACAATTTATTACAATGTTTAAAACAGTTTTTTTATTTATCTACAAATATTTAAAATGTATACAGGACTCGATAAAACACAAGATGTCATTGGCTAATTCTGGTAACCATACAATGATTCAACATGAAACAATCTTCTATACCTTCATAGCAAGATTTTAAGAACAACACCACTGAACAACACATTGCATACTCTGCAAATAACCATCTCAAAAAATTTTCTCTTTATACAAAAACAAACATTGTCTTCTGATAAGTCCCTTGAATTGAATATAAAATCTCAATTCATACTAACTTAAAAAAGTTCAAATTGACATCCGTAGCACACAAGTCAAAGCAAATAGTATCAAATCCTAAACGTTCTTGCAATTATGATCTAAATACTTTGATACTTCTGGAATACTCATGATTATTGCCTTATACGTGTTATATCTTCAATATTCAATGAATCGAGACAGGTAGACGAGTCGAATGCTCGAAGGCGAGCGGATCGGGCGCGGCCGGGTGGGGAGAACAAAAGCCGTCGCGCGGCGTCTCGGCGGCCGCGGCCCCGCCTAGGAAGCGCCCGACCCCCTCGGCCGCGGCTGGACGCCACAACCGCGGCCATTCACAAAGCCCGCAAAGGAAATTCATTTAACGGTTGAGAATTCTTACCCTAATGATGTGTTTTAAAACAAATTGGCATTGATGGAGTGAATCGTACCACTTGACTGAGAAGTAAAATTTATCTTATATTCGGTATAATTATCATTGCGAAAACTTGGGTGTAACATATAACATATACCGACATTGAAATAAAAAACATAATGTCACATCGACATTGAGCGGCTTTGAATCTTGGCGGTCGTTACATTCGTCCAGCTCGCAGGGCAGGTCCGTAGTCCAGAGGGAGACCAGTCCGCTTCCTGGCCGCATACCATAAAAAGAGAGGAGTAGTAAGGCATTGACAAAGACGATGTGCGGCGGCGCGCGCGGCCGCGCGGCGCGCGCGCGGCGCGGCGCCGGCGCGGCGCGCCTTGGGTCTGCCAGCTGCACGAGAGAGAGGAGAGAGATCCAGGTACGAGCGCAGCGGCCCGGGCGACAGTGCGGCGAGGACGCGTCCTCCGGCGGCTGCGTGAGTGAGTGAGTGTTGAGTGAGTGCACGGCTGACGCGCGCGTGGTGTGCGAGGACGCCGGGGGCGCGCGGGCCGCTAGGTGCGCTTCGGCGCGCTGGTCAGCGAGCGGAGCGCGGCTGCCGGTCTAGCGGCGGGCGGAACGAGCCTCGTCTGCTCGGGCGCGATCGGGCGCCGGGCGGCGGGCACAAATGCGGCGGGACGCAAATGGCGCGCGCGCGAAATAGCGAAGCGCCTCCGTTTTCATCATGTTCTTTCGAAAATCACCTCCCACTAGTCAAGCAACAAGAAACGATTACAAACTAGAGCGACGTTCTAAAAAGGAGCCCAGGGCGTATGTTGTGACGTGTCGAGGGAGCGATATGCAACTTCATTTTCTACTCTGAAATTCAAGATTGAAATACAACAATAATAACAAAATAACAGTAGTAAGTACAGCGTTATGACACTCGGTTGGCGTTTAGCGGAGAGGGAGAACGGGGTGGGAGCAGCCGCGCCAGACGGGGGGGCGGGGGGCGCTCTAGCCGCCGCCGCCGCCGCCCAATTCGTCCTCGTACTGCTTGCGGAAGCAGTCGCCCACGGGGAAGAAGTCCCAGCAGCGCTGTTGGTACATGTTCCACACGTACGTCTCTTGGCCGGTGTACTCGGTGTCCGGTTTATTGATGAGATGCATGAGGAAGAACCTGCGGCAAGGGGAAAGTGCGTTAGTTGGGTGTGTTAGGCCTCATTTCGAAGGCAAACTTAGGCGTTGCGCAATGTCGTACACTTAGCAGTAAAGTTTACACGTAAGAACAAACATTCACAATGACGAACGTAAGCTGGAATGTAAGTTTCGTCTGAGACAATCTGATATCAAGGTATTGAAGCTTGATCAAAGGTCGATTCGTTTCTAGAATGCATGGTGGAAATACATGCAAGCATGGTGAAAAGATCTTTCCACCATGGTTTCTAGCTTTCTCTTCGATTTTCCTATCGATTTGTCTTTATATGTAAATGCGAATAGTAGTTGTATTAGTGCTTGCATTCTCTTTACTTTATAAATAAGGATTCTCTTGTACTAAATTCACGAGTGATTCGTTTGGACGTAATTATTTCATTCGCCACGTCAAGTTAAAGTCACAAGAGAAATGGCCCAAATTCTTACTTTGAATTCACTACTCGCGACAAAACAGTCCGCAAACTAGTTCAGTACATTACTGTTATAAAATGACATAATCACTATCTACCTTTACACAATCCATGTTTGTTTCTTTCATGCTGCTCTGGTCGTCGGTAGAATTCCGACGTAAATTTAACGTAAAGGCTTGGTGCTTGTGATCTCTTATGTTTACGGATTTACATCTGCGTTTACTTCAAGGCGTTGTGAATGGTCTCGCTTAATAACTCATTTCTAGGCTTTGCATTGTGAATGAGTCCTTACTCAGCGAAGGGGCTGAGAGAGGGTAACAAAGATATTACCTATCTAACTATAAATTTCATTTATTTGATAAATATAATTTAATCGGTTTCTTGTCACGTAAGAATAGAGAGTAATAAAGTAATCATTTCATTAAACGATTTCAAATAGTACTGGATTCGACAAAGAATGAATAAATGATTTCTTTAATTGTATTTCTGATAAAGATACTGCTAGTAGCTATTCGCGCAAAAGTGGGGGAACAAGTTGAGAACATTGTCTTAAATGCTTTCAACGTCACTCACTAGACACTTTAAACATAGACTCTCCGGAACCTTCCCTGCAAAACTATTTTTATTTTATTTTTCGAAACAGCTTTCCGCACCCCACGTAGGTTAACAGTAATGCTTGAGATAGGTCAACAATCATTTGGCTAAGGGTGCACAAGTTATATAAACAATTAAATAATTAGAGCACATAACATTTATACATGTCCATCATTACAAAAAATGTGTTACGTAAACCTTATGAAATATTTTATTTGAAAGGGGACAGGCGTTCGATGATTTAGGAGAGGGGGCAGATGCTTTCTCTCCCGTGGCTTCGCCTACGCATTATCTTACCGACACCAGTACTCACATGTAATTGGCGAGGTTGTGTTCCTGCTGCACGTGTGTGTCGAACCCGTGCGGCACTTTGTCGAAGTAGTCTTTGCCTATGCCGCATATGAAGCAGTTGGACTCCATGTCTTCCTTGACGCTCTCGAGCTGGTCTCGAAGTTCACCAAAGGCGTCAATGATCAAACCTGCGACAGGACATTTCACATATGACGATCGGAATGGAAGTACAAGGAGGAGATTGAAAACGTTTTTCACTAGGATTGTTTTGTTAATATGAGACTGACATTACCGGGAAAGTAAAAAAAAACAAAAAAAGTTATGAAGTTTGGGTCTATGCAACTTACTCTATTTTCTGATTCAACTAAAGGGTTTGCTTTAAATTAAGCAATGATTTGCACGTTTTGCAATGTTTGAACAGGAATGAACATTAAAACGTTTTGCAAATATTTACTTCATGAAGTAGTATGTAGTTTAAAGTAAGTTGAAAGATAAGATGGTGTTGAATGTGCTATGTTCTCAATCAAAAATATTTTCAATATCAAAATGATTACAAATAAACTTAACTTGCAAATAAATAATGTTAAAATAATATTAACGAGGTATAAAATACTAAATATGTATATTATTTTATGAAATTCTTCGCTATTTGACATTTTTCTGTTGGAAACTAGACGTTATTTTCCACAATTAGGGATGTATAATGTTTACAAATACATCACAACATACATTATGAATAAATTAATAAAGCAACTAGTCTTACAACTGCGCGCAACAACACACACACACACACACACACACACACACACAGACATCCCCTCATTTTAATCCACTATCACACTTTTCTTTCTCCCTTCGAAGCAGCAACCCTAACTCAGTGGAATCGGTAAAATTCGTTACCCTGAATGATAGCCAGCAGGATGACGATGACGAAAAAGAAGAAAGTGATGTCAAAGAGAATGCGGTAGACTTCGTAGTCGTCACCATCTGGAGGTTCGATCTCGTCACCGATTCCTCCACCAGCTCTGACTCCTTTGTAGAGATGGAAGATGAAGCACTGGAAGCAAATCAACAAGTAGAGCTTCAGAAATTCGTCTGTAATTTTGCATAATGATGGATATGCAATCATGGGTTAAGTTATATCTAAACGATCTACTTAAAATATTGTAAACTCATCTAATTTTACATATTGTTTCAAAATAAAATTGTCAACTATTTAAAAAAAGATGTTTATGTCAATTGTAATCCAATGCAAGAAAAATAACACAATATAGAATAAGTATAATTTGTTAATTATTTACTGATGTAAAATTTTACCATTTGTTGTATCTTTAAGCTTAAAGAAGTAGCAATTTGCCATATTGTTTTGTTATCACTTTCTCGTGACACACTGGCTGAAGATCCCTGATTCGAATGTGAAATAATATTTTATGATGTGTTTCAAGGCTTGTAGTTTACTCAGTTAGTAGATAATGCTTATTTTCTGGCTAGGTTTACCACGTATCATACATTTTTACTGTTTTTTTAACGGAATAGAATTTTATGGCGCTCACTTACCGTTAACATATCGTGACATTTTTTATGCACTTCGTCGTCTTCTTCTTGCACGTAAAACTTTCGGAAGAAGTTGAAGGCTACCACCGTATATATGTACACTATAATCGTGAGCAGCATTACCGTCAACACCAACTGTTTGCCGTTGTGTGTGACGGATTGCAAGATCGTACGCAGCGTCTTGAAGCCGACAGCCACATCCAGCAAGTGGGCAGCGAAGAAGAACCTGTTGAAGTTGCCCATCACGGAGAACGTGAAGTACCACAAGCTGTACAGGAACGACTGAAACGAGGCGAAAACACTCAAAATTACTCAAGTTCACGGCTTTCCAACATTTCAATAGTCTTACGATTATTGTGTACGGGTCCTAGGAATAACTGTGGCAATTAATTATATATTGACTAATGTTTCCGGACACGTCAACTACAATGGTTGTTAGTCTCGTAAGTGTAGTGAATGTTTTGTGAGGGAGGTGGCTATGGTGGTCGCTGGATGGTGAGGTCCGGCGCTAACACATACGTCGGCTTCAGGGAGATTTCCCTCTCCTGGTATCTCCCTCACCGGGACACCGCTCCCGTCGAGATACGCTCTACGGGTCCGACTGGTCTCTCGAGGACGCCAATAACGGATGCATAATCACGTGCAGGTTTCGTTGATTCAAAGGAAACATTATTCGGATTTCTTCTTAAGAAACAAACAAAAAACTGTAGCTGTCACAACAGCACCGACAATTATAATCGATGAATTCGTTTCACATTTTCCTCTAACATGAAAAGTTTAATTCTAATTTAAATTTTGGAATTTTTAAGGCGAAAGATTGCTCCTCTGCACAATATGCAGACGAAATTACAAGCAACAAATGATTCATCTAGCAAACTCTTAAATTTTTGGTGACGTCATTCCTTGAAGACCCAATTATTCACGTTGATGATAGGCACTCACGTTATCTGTAACGGTGACTCCAAGTTTCCAAACTTGATACCTCCAGTCAATATTCAGAATGCTGAAAAAACAAGCGAAATACGCGATTAGTTCAGAAATGATACGTCCTTGACATTCCATTTTATGTGTGCTGTACTTACAAGTTGATGAAGCCAGAGCCCTCTGATTCTTGCGAGCTGAATGACGTCTTTTCCATGCCAAGGAGGTTGCTGATGGAGTCGAAGTCATACGTCTCGCTGTACTTTTGACGCACCTTCTTCTTTACGAATTTATCCCAGTAGTTAACGGGGAATGATCTAAGGCAAATTAGACACATGTGATATTTCGCACCTTAAGAGTTATTTTATTTAAAAGTAACTATAGAGAGTATGTTTCATGTTAAAAATTAATAAATATGTTCATTAGTGGCGAGACTCAGGCCATTAAGTTTGCTTAGTAAGTTTGCATTGTTAAGTAAACATAAGATAATTCAAGGAATTCGCACGCTTTTTAGGGAAGGAGATCGTTTTCACATGTGTGACAAGAACAAAGACAAGGGAGAGGAGAGTTGATCAATATAGACGATCTTACATTCTTGTGATTATTATATTATTATCTTCAAATAAGAAATGGATGTTAAGATCAATTAGGGAAAAGTAAATTTATTAATAAAAAAACTATTGAGAATATTTTTCGATTAAATATTGTAAATGAAGGTACTTATTCTATGACCGAAGAACTAACATTACGATGGATCGAGTGGCCATTGAATGAATTCTCCCTAAATTGAAGGACGATCTCATCATGAGATGATGGCTAAGTGGAGATTAAAAATACAATAATATTTTTGAAAGAAGTCTTGTTAAGCACAATAGGTCAAAAGTAACAGTAAACCAACTAAATCATACATACAATTTGTTTACAAATTCAATAACTTTTCATCTATTGCACTTCCAATAAAATGTTCAACGTTAGGAAACTCTCTGTAAGGAAAGTAACAGGCGACCATTTTGTACAAAAAAAATGTACATACAGTAGGGTTCAAAAAATGAAGACACACTTTGTCAGTGAATATACTTGAAACTGGGAGAAACATTCCTGTTATTCTTGCTTGCTGTTTCTGTTGAATGTTTTGTTAAATATTCTAGGGATTTCGTGTGTTCAAAGTGACCGCAATTAGCAGATAAACAGCGTCAATTTCTCTGAACTGCTGACTGAGTGTACGTTTTTTTGGACGCCTCTGTACACGTGGAATCGTGTTGACGTCGCAAGAGCGGAGACTCACTTGGCCGATATGACGAGTTTGTCCCAGTGCGACTTGATGTCGTCGTCCTCAGGCTGTTCGGCGATGTACAGGCCGTCAAACTCCAGCCTTCGGGCGATCTCCTTCTCGCGCTTGAAGATAGCCAGAGGAACCTGCGCCGCAGAAAAACGAAGGGCGGTCTCAACATTGGTCAAGTTCAACAAATTGAAGACTCCGGAGTAATACAATCCGTACTAAGAAACAGTTGTAAATTTACAGCTATTTACAGCACTAATTTGACAGCTATTTACTTAGAAACGGCTGTAAATAATAGTGAAATAAGATTTATTTTCAGTTATATACTTTAAAACACTGGAGGTCCATAGTTTTCAATATCAAAACCAGAGAAGTTCAACTCCTCTTTTAGAAACTCACTAAGTATACTCTTATAATTATAATATCAGGAACATTGAGAATCTAAAAAAATAGTATAATTGTCCAAAAAGTTCGTTTTAAAGCATACAAAGAACCGTAATTTATAAATAAAATATATTTCATCGGAAAATATTGGTAATTTTTTTACTTAGAAAATAATGGCTAAAACATTTTCTAACTGCTGTTTTCAAACAGGTGAAGTTCAATCCCTTTATTTTAAAATCGACTAGATTTAATTCATTAGTTTCAAATCTATTCAAGACCAAAACTGCAGATTCAAAAATGACTACTGTAAAGCTAATCGTTTAATAGATGAGAGAGAAAACGAGTGAATAAAACTTGATGAATCAGTAAGGAACGTTTGCCTACGAACGTGTAGCGTTTCAGAGATTAGAGGAGAAACTACGATGATGTAGGGTATGAAAGCGAGATTCCCGTCAAATGATTCTCAAATCGCGCTTCTCCCCGCAGAAAGTGAAACAGTTTTTAACATTAAGCGAACAACCGTTTAGACAAACCGTTTAGACAAACCGTAGGTTTCGATCTGGTGACCGAGATCGATAAGGCAGTAGTGTCGTAGCGATCTCGGACCGAAGGATCGCGGGTTAGAGCCCTGACTCGGGCATTGTTGTATTGTGATCGTCCTTTCACCCCGTATCATCATCATTATAGTGTCATCTTCACAGTGACCATACCGTTACAAGCAATAGTGGTTGTTAATGAGCCAGAAGTTGATGCGACCTTACAATTCCCCCCTTTCATCATCATA